CCCCCGACCCCAGCCACCCCCCCAGGCCAGCCGTGCTGCACCCGATCCCCTGCCCGGGGCACCCACCCCCCCACCTTCCCGCCTGGGGTTTAAACTCACCTCGCTTTATGGGGTGGCCGGGTGATGTTGCTGCGTCCCTGCTGCCTCTTTCCGTGGGTCCTAAGATCCACCAGGCACCGGCAACAGGCGCATGGCTCCTTTCCCTCCCTCAGTTATATCAACTGTCAATTTATATTTCAACAATGTATACTGACAAAGCACAAGGACAGTAACTTAAAGTAGTTGGAATTGTTTTGGAGATATCTTGCTTTTCACATGGACAACTCTATGTTGCGTGTTCAAGAGTTGGAAATGGAAAAACTTTGTACATATTTGTTAAGAATAATGAAACAAAAAATATAGTTTACAATAAAGTTGTTTATGATAACATGTAAAATTGGTTGCTTTATACTTTTTTATATATATTTTAATCCCTATAGAACTCAGTGCAACTTTTCTACCATTCAAAAAAATGATAATGGAGTACTGTTTTTCTAAATTTTGTTCCTCCACTTTCCCGAGCAACGCCAGATAACTCCCGCTTGTACCTAAATAATTATCTTTCTTTGGAGACCTTTGATCTCTGTTAGTCCCTGGCGCATTTTGAGGGATGTGTTTTGATTCTTTCAGAGGAGTCTTCAAGTTCTATTTCACCAGTACTTTAGTGATTCTGGCTGTTCTATAATGTCAGTTTTAAAAGATCTGGTTTGGTAAGATCTGGTTAAGGAATCTTCTTTTGGTTTCTTTCAGTCTTTGACAAGTTCTTTTACTTGGGAATGAGCTGCTGTTGTTTTCCTTCATATCATTTTCATAGAAATAAATAAAATTTGCCACTTCTTGACTCACTGGGTAATAAAATGTCTAGTATGGTTAAGCCAATGAACTAGGTCATAGCCTGAGACCAACTGGGAGATGATTACATATTTGGCAGTGCACTCTACTTACATAAATCCAAATTCCACTTTCTGGGGAAGATAGGTGGAGACACTTGGGATATCAGGCACCTATTTCTGGTGCTGCTGCAGACACCTGGCACATTCTTAACAAGATAACTTAGCTGACTCCCCATTAAGATGGGGATAACAACTTCTCCCTAGCACACAGGCGCTGATACTAAGAGCTGTGGAATCTCTCATGAATAGAAGTGCTGGTGCATAGTTGTTCTGTTAGCTTTTCTCTTGTTGAAATGAACATGGATGTGAACTTTCTCCTATGGATCCTCAGACTAATTAATGGGCTTGTTGCTATCTTTTCCTCAGGCAAAAAACGTGTCCCAAAAGGAACCCTTCCAATGCACGCAGTGAGCAGGAGGTTAGTGCTACTTGTTTTGGTGATTTTGTTTCTCTTGGCTGTTACGCTGTCTAACTGTAGATGTTTACTGGGGCATGTTCTGAGTTGTAGAATGGGATCCAGAACTCCGCCATTGATATCAATGAGCTCCAGCTTGTGGTGCCAACTCGAGAGAATGAAAACAACAATCACACTGTCAGCCGGGACCAAGTGGGTAAGTAGGAGAACATGTTGTTTCAATCCATAGCTCTTTGCTCAGTGAATCAAGTCAGTCTCTCTTCCTGGATCTTCCTCTTCAGCTGTATGTGAGGAGGCACAGCGCAAGCTATCACATATTAGAAAGTGTTTGGTGTGGAATTACTCTTTTTTTGCCCTTCCACTTACTGGTAGAGTAATTCCCTGACAAGGAATACTCATAAGTGTCATTTCTGAACCCTGCCAATAGACACAGTCATATCCAGGGGCACAGTGCAGATGCTTAGTTAGCAGGGCAAATGTGGCCTTGGTTCTTCTGTCATATTGCTGGCCATAAAACATCTGTGATGAAATCTCCAAGAGTTGTGATTTTCTGCCTACCACACTCCTCTTTGTGTCTCCTGGAGAGCATGGCTGTCTAAGCACTGGGTTTGGAACACTCAGGCCAGATATACACTAAAGGGGAAGGTTGAATCAAGATACACAACTCCACGTATGTTAATTACATAGCTGGAGTTGATGTACCTTGATTTGAATTTCTCCACCATCCCCACAGTGGGAGGCCAATAGGAGCAAATGTTCCTGTCAGTTTCCCTTATTTGTGGCAGGAGAAGGAGTCCCAGCTGCCAACGGGAGCACTCTCTGATTTTGATTTAGTGGGACTTAACTAGACTGCTAAATCGAACTCCAGAAGATCGATTGTGTTGATCTTCCACTGAGTGAAGACATGGTCTCAGATTTTCTAGAGCAATCATAGGTCCAAAGCTTTTTTATATTAACAGTGTGGTTAAAATTGCTCTGATCTAGAGTGAGCCATCTTCCAAACCCCAGCAAGTAAAAGCAGTAAGTGCTGAGATGCTTTGACTACAACTCATAACTTGTAAGCGATGTCCTTCATGGCTGATAAAAGCTTATACAGAGGCACTGGATCTAACGTTTGTGAAGATTGTTCATCAGCGTTTCTCTCCAGAGAGACTAAATAGCTGAGGTAATATTGTTTATAACACTGACTTTTGTTGGGAAGAGACTAGCTTTCAAGCTTATGGAGAGCTCTTCTTCAGGTCTGGGAAACATAGTCAGGCTTTGTTTATGTTTAAAAGTTTAAAAAGCATGTCCAGTGCAGTGCTGAGAGAGCTCTATGAGGTGCTCCATGAGGAGGGTAAATAACAGCACTAAGCATACAGTTCCTAGAGCTGTAGTCTGGATCACACTGGCGCTTTAGAGAGCTGCAACTTGCTGCACTCAGGGGTGGCAGGGATGTTTTTCATACCCCTGAGTCAGAAAGTTATAGCACAGTAAAGCATCAGTGTAGACTTAACCCTCAGATCAGGTGGAGAAAATCGATGCAAGATACGCAATTCCAGCTATGTGACTTGTGTAGCTGGAGTTAACGTACATTGCATCAATTTTCTCTCCCACTGACTTCCCTTATTCCTCAAGACTGTGAGGAGTTTTGGGGCCAACAGGGGTGCCCTTAGTATTTGGTTTAACAGGCCCACTAAATCGAATGCCGGAGGATTGACCTCCAAAGTGTCGATCTTTCTGGAAGTGTAGGTGTGTCCTCAAAGTGTCACTGCTCAATACAAAGTGAAATATACTGTTTGGCATAAGTAGTTAACATCTGTTGCAAGGTGAAATAAACCATTAATGGACCATTGAAATTGGAACTTGAAATATGTGTTAACTACTTATGCTGAGTAGAGTTTGTCAGGCCTGTTAGTAGTTGCTATTATAGACCAGTGAACCCTTTGCCAGCTGGCACTAGTGGTGCCCTGTATCACAGTTCTTGTAAGATCCTAGCTCAAAATCCCAACACTGTGCTCTCACAGTCTTGCTAACTATCAACAGTTTCCCTTTGTTGGGAAAGGTCACTGAGAGGATTGTGACCAGACAGTTCTGGCAGTCTAAGTCCCCAGCTGATCAGTGAGTTATAACATGAATATAACTTTTGGAATTCTTCAGAATTTAGGATTTGAGGTGGGGGAGGACAGGTTGTCAGGTGCAGATGCCCGAACTGCCCTCTTATCTCCCCATAAAATCCCACTTGCTACCCTGAGATATTTTACATGCAGATAAAAACAAGATGAATTTAGCCAGCTTGCAAATTTTGGATTCAGAGCTGAACTTTTCTCAGAGGTGGTTGCATTTACAACTTTGGGCCCATTTCTATTTTAAAAAGGGCTTTGCTGTTAAGTCCTGGATTCCTAGCCAAATTTCAGTCCATTAGGATAAGACAAGTGATTCAATGACTAGCAGCCATGGATTCATTTTTTAGGCTGGGTTAGAATGTGAAAAGGAAGGTGGTCTACTTGCCCAGGCTAAATAAAAGGATACTGTCACTTAAAAAAATCTTTCCGTGTCTTTCCTTCCCTTAGTCTCTTCCTCTGGAGGCAGCGCAGAACACTCTTTGCAGCATACTGACCCAGACATGCCCTCTTCTGTGTCTGCAGTGACCACTGAAACTGGGAGCGATGAAGTCTTTATTATTTCAGCCAGTCCTGGTGCCAGCGGGTTGAGTTTTACCACTTACAGAATACAGGTAGAGACACCAGAGAGAGTATGGCAGGAAAAGATCTCTAGAGTTTGGAGGAAGGCACTGAAAATGAAAACTCCCAGGTTCCATTCCTGGCTCTATCATTTACTTGCTGTGGGCATGTCATATAACCCCACAGTTCCTCACTCCATCATATTATTTATGTACTATGCAGCACTGTTGTTAGCTGTATTACTATAGCTCTTAAGTTGTGAAGCTTAATAAATGATGTCCAGTAAATTAGTTGCTTTATGTGTTAGGGCGCTTTACAAATATTTCGTTAAATTTTTAAAATTTAAATATTATATAGAAGTTTCACTTTTGGAGGAGGGGGGTTCTCTTTTATTTTAGCTTACACCCTTACAGCTCTTACTGATGTTTCTTCAGAAACTCATATGGTTCAAAAATCCTTATGCTTGTGTTGATTAAGGGTGGTGATTAGCGTATGTTTCTGAAATTTTTCTGGGGCCAACCCTTGCTGTCTAAACGTGGTATAGTATGAACTAGTGCATGTGCATACCAGTACTTCATGCATCTCATAGGACTTTCTCCTGGAATACAAAGTATAGAGTGTCTGCATCCATGGCCTTAGTTGGAGGCCAGTATTAGGGTGCAGTATTGATTAGGATTTTCCTAGAGTATTAATAATGTACATGGACCTCTTTAGAATTATGTCCATTAGTTAAAAACAGCCAACTTATAGAACAGTGAAAACAAATGAATATGGACCATTGCTCTCTCTCTCTCTCTCTCTCTATATATATATATATATATATATGTGTGTGTCCTGTGGGATGACAGAATGACATCATCATGTCATCTATGTCCTCATGCTGCTGCCACTTCCCACCTCTGCTTCCATCCTCAGTCATTTGCTGTGGTCAGCTTCGGTACCCCTCCAGGAATGGGCTGCTCCAGGTCTGGCTCTCACTTCATGTCCCAGTGGGGTGTGCTGCTGGGGAGGAGCTGCTGGGGCTGGGTCCCCTTCATCATCTGAGCCTGACTTGTCCCACCCTCCGGGTCATGCTAGATCCCCTCCACCATCTACACCCGACCCCCCCTGAAGCCACCCTGGGTCCCTTCTGCCATCCAAGGCCTCCCCGTAACCCTCCTGGCTGCCCCGCATCCCCTCCATCATCTGACCCCAATACACTCTAACCCCTTCACCCCTTCCATTGAGACCCCGCACCCCAGCCCACTTCTGCCCCTCCTCCCTGTCCAGACACCTACCCCCAGCCCACTCCTTCCCCCTCCCACCTGGACAGACACCTACCCCCAGAGAAAGGGGGGTGGGGGTGGCGAGCATAGTGAGCAGTGGCACAGCCTCCTAGTTTTTCTTAAAATAGCTTTCTATATGATAGACAGGTTTTATTTTCTAAAACCCAAGTAAAAATGTTTTAATACTATAATCCAGTGATTCTTAGCCTTTTTGATACCAGTGACTGACTTCCTAAACTATATCAGGATGAGCCCAGGTCAACAGAGCAGTCGTTGGGAAACACCACTTTAATCTACCATTCTTTAGCTGAATTATATCTTAAAATATTTAAGGTGTAAAAGAAAAGAAATAGTTTGCATAGGCAGAAGTCAAATTTTAGCTTTAAAATTTTTACATTATCTAACATTTCCTTTCCACCTGAAACAATCTATGGCACAATTTCCTACACACACACACACCCTGCATAGGAAGATAGAGTGGAAATTGGCAAGATATGATTCTTCTTAAGTATGACTCTTTTGGTGAGAGCTCTATCTGGTGGTGATCAGATAAAACCTCAGTTTGTTTTGGATAATGGAAAATCCACATTCTCATTCTTCCCACTTAAAAAAAATGTTGAGCATCCACAAATCTAATAGAAATTATTGAAATATGAATGCTCACCTTCCAAAATCATGCCATTATTTCCTCTCCCTCTTCATTCCCTACTTGATCTTGGACCAAAGGCTTAGAAGGAATGTTACTGCTAAATAATTTTTCCCAAAGCATGTTCTTAGCTAGATAGCTAAAGAATCTGGATTAGGGGGTTAATGAATCCATACTTGTGTGATATGGTGGAAGGCCTGAATAGGAAAAAGCTAAGGAAATCCTTCTAATATAAATGCTAGATTTTCAGCATGGTTGGGGCCCAGCCGCCCTGATTTGGAAGCAAATTGGCCTACAAAATGGCTTGCAGGCCCCTATCTAAACAGTTGCACTTCAAACAAGCTGATGTGCATCCTCATTCTATGAGTGATATTTGTACCCTCAATATGGGAGTCAGAAGTGCAGCTATCTAAGAAATTCATAGGTGCAGGAAGTAGGTGTACAGCCATACTCACTAGATCTGCATGCCCAGGGATGCTGTGGAATCTCCATCTCTGGAGATATTTAAGAGTAGGTTAGATAAGTGTCTAGCAGGGATGATCTAGACAGTACTGGATCCTGCCATGATGTCAGGGGACTGAACTCGATGACCTCTTGAGGTCCCTTCTAGTCCTAGTTCTATGATTCTATGCCACAGCAGGGTTCCAGCTGACATTCTGGGTCCCTGTTGCTGCCTGGGGTCTCACTTTCTGGCTCCACTGCTTCTAGGAGTCCCTTCTGCAAGTCCCATGGAATCCACTGTGGTCCTAGCCTGGAGCAGAGAGGGATGTGGATGGGTAAAGCAGAAGAAGGGGGAGAACCAGCTCAACACCCTCACGCTAAATATTGTTCCATCACCATTGAAGAAGTTAGAAGTATTTACACACACAATTGAAATGCTCCCAATATATACAGATGGGGGCCACAAGTTACATCTGAAGAAAGGAGGCTATCCTGAAAAATATTCTCTCTAAGCCTCCTATATATTGCTCTGAATAAGATTAGATTGTGGCCCTCACTCTGTGTCTTCCCCTCTGTTGTTATATGGTTTGTATGTGCTAGTATATGGTTTGTATGTGCATAGGATACCCTATGCAAATTGTGTATGTTGTTATCCACTGGCATGCATCAACTTTCTTGGCTGTAATGCTGACATTATCCTAAAGTTTATGGAGGTGTGAAATCTTGGGCTTTTACAGTAGACAAGGATTCCAGACTCACCTCACCCAAAATGCTAGTCTAGACAAAGTGAATCATAAGAAGCTTTTCTCAAAGATTATCTAAATCCTTTTACTGAGAAATAGTAGCTGGCCAGCAGCTCCCATGCCTCCCACTGAGTGTGAGCCTGAGTTTTGCTGGGGTGGGGTAGGGTTGGGCTTAAACACACACCCCAGCAACTAATCTGCTGTTGGGAGTCCAGAGTACCTCTAGGCAATGTGCTGGGGAGACAAACTTCACTGCAGTGCCTCAGTACATTTGTTAAGATGTGGGAAGAGTAGAGGAGAGAGAGAACTGATAAGAATGGATTACATTAATCCTGTACATGTTTTTCAGGGAAAAATATAGGGCATGTAGCTAATTTCTAAAAAAAATGGAAATCGTGTGACTGCTTTATTTATGTAACCACTTTTAGCCCATGTTTATTGCCTTTGCTCCACCATCTTTTCCCTTCCCACACGTTGTGATCTCTATTGATCTTACTTGTTTAATTCTACATATAAACTGAGTAGATCTTACACTGTAGAGCTATCCCCTTGTCAGGGCCAGCCCACAACATTTTGGCACCTGAGGTGGGGAGCTCAAATGACGCCCCGATGCCCCCTCGCTGCACCAGTAGCAGACACAATTTTCTACACTCTGGGTCCTAGTGACACCTCCCCCACAAACTGGCACCTTAGGTGGCCGCCTCAGTTCGCTTCATGGTAAGGCCAGCCCTGCCCCTTCTCTTGGCTAGAACTTGTTGCCTTCTTAAATTGCATCAGGGATATCTCGGGAACTGGTGCCAACAGGCCTGCTGCCTGGGGGGGCAAAGGAGATGGTTACCTTGGGGCCCAGTGATTCTAAAGATTCTGTGGCTTCCTGCCAACATTGCTGTTCCTGCAGCAGCGTCCAGAACCCCAGATCCCTTTAACTCACTGAAGGTGCATCTACACTGCATGCTTATTTGGAAATTAGCTATTTTTTTTCTAAAATAGCTTATTTCGGAATAGGGCGTCTATACACAAAAAGTGCATCAAAATAGAGTGTCTACACTGATTAGACTTCAACTCACATGTAAGGCCATCCAGAACCACTTCAGGCAGGGCATTAGGACACAGTTACTTCCCGCAGCCACTGCCTGAGACTATCTGAGACTCGTGCTTAAAGGGACCCCCCCATACAACAATTTCTCAGGTTCTTCTCCTGCTTGCCTACCTCTCTGAGGGACAGCAAAGCCTTTTCTCTGACTGCTGTGGTTCTCCTTGCATACACCTCAGCACTCCCACCATGGAGCTGGAATTGCCTCTGGACACACAATGGCCCGTATCTATTGTGCTTCAGTTTCTGCAGCAGTTTCTGTGCGTTGGCCTCCTGGCCTTGCAGGAACACAACCTGCATTGCAGAGACCCTCCCCATCTGTCTGGGAACACAGCTCTTCCAGCTGCACCCCACCGTGCATCGCTTCTGGCAGCTGGACACCAGTTTTAACTGATGGGACTGACTCATTATAGAACAGTGGGACAACCAGCAGTGGCTCCAGAATTTCTGCATAAGCAAGGAGACCTTTTTGGTACTGTGTGCCTGTCTCGCCCCTGACCTCACATGACAGGACACATGCATGCAACGCGCCATCCCCCTGGAGAAGTGGGTCACCATCACTCTGTGGACATTCGCCATGTGGGACAGCTACCGATCTGTCAGGAACCAGTTCGGCATGGGAAAGTTGACTGTCAGAACCCTTGTCATGCAGGTATGGCACTCATGAGCTAGAGTCCTGGGAGCAGGTGGGGAGAGAGAGGGAGGTGTGAAGTGCAGGAATGGGGAACCCTATAGAAATGGGGAGATGGGGGAAGATTCCTTCCTCGGGGGTTTACCTGTCCCGCTCTCTCACAGCTCTGCCAAGGGGGTAGACTACATAGGGGGTTGCTCTTGGTGTGGTTGGCTGGGGGAAAGAGATGGGTGG